TTCCCACACACCTCTAATTAAACTCTTTCCCTCCCCCCCCCCCACCTCGTTTATTAAGCCTCTTCCCTTCGCACGAGCGTAATGATTGGACATTTTTGTTGCTCGATGCTACAATGTTTTCGTTTTGTCATTCACAGTAACGGTAAATCATATAATCAAATGATGAACATATACCTTCCACAGTTGCCATTTTACAAATACAGATTTATTAACTCGTCCCCAATGGGGCTTTTCAGAGATAATTAACAAATAAAATTAATTCTAAGTTCTAAAGCAAGAAAAATTTAACTGACCTATTTTCCATCAATAACTAATTACTGAGAAATTCATGCAAGAGTTGTTTCTTAACCCTACGTTTAAATCCTGAAATAGAAGTACAAAGTTTTAGATCATTGTTCGAAAAGAAGTTCAGAAGGATTGTTCAGAAGTACAAAGTTTTAGATCATTCTGAGGTCAGTATGAACGCCTGAGCGGGCGTCTCATTTAACCGAGTTTGAATAAAGTTATCACAATCAATCGAAATCGAAACATGGTAAACTTCAAAGCATCTATATAATGAGCTACGATTTTATGTCGAGATGGTTTCGCCGGGCAAAAATCTTTTGAAAGTTTTCCTTATTAATATCTCAACGGCACGGTTGAGTAATTCGACAAGATGCTTCCATCGAGTGGTTGCTTCATTATGCCAAAAATACAGAATTGTTTTTGCCGTCCTCAAGTTTACATAAACGTGGACAAAGAGATAGAACTAAAATTTTGTTTCCAGAGCAAATGTTGACTGACTAAGGTTAAACTAGCTACGGCTGTGCTTCGGCTAATATAAGCCTCCATCTCAAGGAGACCCCGCTCCAGCATCGTCTCTCTTTGATGTTCTCTCTAAATAGGGCGTTTCTGAAGACAGTTGCCGGAAAAGGCCCTTTTCAGCTAGCTTATCAACATGACTTTACAAGTGCAAGTGACGAAATGATAAAGAATCTGTCACATTAGTTGTTGTTTGATGTCATATATTGGACGGTTCCCTCCCAAAACACACTCGAGAACTTCTTGGCGCATCTGTAAAACATGCTCCCATTATACCAAAAGATTTATCGATATTTTATTTGACATAATAATAACAGTAAATATACCTCAAATTTCCCAAACTAAACAATCCTGTATATTTTGTAAAAGAATTAATGAATACTAAATAGGGCATATATAAACGATACTAACCCATTGAGTCACTCTCCCTTTCCGAGGAAAATTGTCTGGCGTTAGACAGAGAAAAATAATGCAGTAAGCAGTATTCAAGGCACATTGCTATACAGTTAAAGGTTAACACAAAGCATGGGTGTGATCGTGTCGAGGAAAATCGTCTGGCATTAGACAGAGTAAAATAATAAAGCATCTTAGTCCATATGCAAACGCTCACATTGCTAACCCCAGAGATTTATCGCAGTCAGTTGGTCCGAAGAAGGCTTTGAAAGACATTTTACGACTGGCAAGTGTGTGCGTCATATAATAATTTAATGAATTTGTCACTATATTTACATGTTACTAACTAATTAAAGACAAATAAAGACAGATTAGACAATTCATGACAGGGGAAAGGAACGAGAAGACTCTCGTCCCAATTAATACCTAACCCCTAACCTCGATTAAATTTTGGTTCAATTTGGATGAGGTTGTCTTGCTTTGTCGAGCAGAAGAAAATGAATGCGTAATTAGTATGATGTAGCATAATATGCTGGCGTTCCGACTGCCCTCTGATCTCATAGCGGAGTGGATAGACCCTGCCAAGAATTCCAGCGAGCACAGCAAGCCGACGAACCGTAAGCGGTATAAGCGGATCCTTTATTATAGCAAGCATAATTCTTGTACGAATGCTCAAGCACCCCAACAGGCAAACAGGACACTACTAATACTAATAAGGAAAAGCTTCCCACGTTGTTTTTCTGAGATTTACCAGGTAGCTAGTTCAGAAACTAGCAGCAAATATGGGCAACCCACTCAGACACCCACATCAATTGGCACATATTTCAAAAATGCCGACAGAAGACTCCCAGTGCAAGATTGCACCATTTATGCATGCATGATCGCCGGCATCTCTTCCTTGCAAGTATATTAATAGCGTGGCTAGGTATTTCAAAGTGCCTTATATAACAAACATACTAAATACATAAAAAAGGCTTGTATGACGATGCTGTTTTTAACAGCAACTAAGCATTGAAAAGCTGCTGTACTAAAATGGTTGATAAATCTTATTAAATTTGTTATTTGAATTACTTGTATCAGTTGAATGCATTCATCAAAGAGCGCAGACGACTGTCCATTTTTCTATAATTCTCAGACAAATTTTCGTTGTGCAAATAAGCGATGTAGATTAAGCATTATAAATACACAATATAAACATACGATCCTCGCACGTCTCTAGACTCTAGCAATATCTATATAAGTAACAATGGATTATGATATAAATATACATTAAGTAATACCCTAAATCCTAATGCATTAAACGATTGAACGGATCTTCAAATGTATTGTTGAATAAAAAAAACGTGCTATTTATATCAAAGCCAGACAAAGGAGGTCTTTCATCGTGGAAAATTGAAGAAAATGTGATTGTGCGCATTCTAGAACTATAGTACAAGCTTTCTCAAAACAGTTTTTGAACTTTTTGAACATCGTATATATAACTCTGTCTTTTATAGCAGGTAATACTCACTCACATTAGGGAGCCTAAAAGCAAACGACGTTTTCGGTCGTCAGATTGTCGAGAGGGACTGGATTAAAAACTGCGTTTGTGTCAATTCGTGGTAATTTTCAACACATATGACAAAACTAAGATTTTTTGTTCCTTGTACACGAGCGGCAGACAAAATAAGTCATGCCAATTTTCGAGTGCAACCTTCGTGTTGACGACAACGTTGTTTGCTTTTAGCTCCCTATCTATTAAACATTACATAATACCTTAATAAAGAAATTTCTCATTCCGATTTTATATTATGTACTTGCTAACTTTGCCAAATACAATGTGATCCACAAAACAAACACTCCATCGCCAAAGACAAGAAATTTATCAAATTCAAATATTCCCAAGCTGTGGAACAGTATATAGCGAAGTATAAAGAGAATCATGTCAAAATTTTTCCCATTTTGTGATCCCCCAAGACAAAGGTATTTCCGACATTTTCTGAATAGATCATGCAACGACATTGGGATATTGTTTCAGATATGTTGAGGTTTTTAATTAAGGTCAAGTCACTTTTGTAGAACTAAATTTAGTGTCCGGAGTAATTTCTCGTAAAAACTATTTCTCGTTTACTATGATATAATAACTAAATGAGGAATTTCCTGAGTATTGCAGCGCAGTTAATAAAAATAGGATCAAATTCTTGCAGCTTCTAAAAGTGTATATATACGTATTAATAATTTGACCTAATTCCCTGCCACGTCTATAATAGCCTGCTGAGCAGCATTGTGATGTGTCAACCATTGATAGATTACCATGGTTAAACCAAAATTGCTCGCTGAATTCAGGAAACTTCGATTCTTTCTCGCGACGTATAGGCACACCTGACATCTAATATTCACGCACATATTATAGCTTCACTAATATAGATCATTGTTGAAAATTGTATGGAAATTTCCATACTGCCATATACATTAGATTTAGTATATACAAATTATCTGAATGTCTATCGATTTTAATTTTTTTCCCAATGCATGGATCTGGGCATGTATGATTAGGGTAAGGTTGGGTTAGGGGTAGTCTTAGAGTTACTATATTGATTAAGATCCGACATTTATTGGCAATGAAAATGCCTCCATATATTATAGGGATGAGTGTCGAGGAGGGGGGAGTGTAGAGGCGGGGTTGTCTCGAAAGGAAGGGTTAGCTATCTTAGATTGTGCTAATTTAGTTCCCTTTATATCTCACAACACCATATGAGGCTGAGTGTAAGAGGGGTGGGGGGGGGAGAGTAAGTTCCTTTCGAATCTCTAAATATCATACAGTAAATGTATAACTATCCTTAAAACTGGTTGATAAAATTCAGTCAAAGAACACTAATAAGTTCCTTGCAGGTATGATGAAAGAAATTATAATTGTTTCATTTCGTGGTATATAAACATCATGTTCGTTAAAATGCCGCAAAGGTTTCAAAATAACTCAGCCATATAATTCCTTGTATGTTTGAATGATGAAAGTGATACAATTGTCTTGTGTTATGAAAACATCACGTTTACTTATATTGGCAAACGTTGCGGATCAAACCAGCTTTGCCAAATATCTAAAAGTTGACGTGTTGTTTTACACGAAAACAGGAATCTAGTACAAAGAGCACTCTTTCATGTCCTTCTCACAAAAACTGCTTGTTTCTACGATATTAAATTCACTTGAAATGGTCTTTCTATAAGCGTTAAAATACTGTTATTTTGTTCCGTGACATACCAGAGAGCACTTGCAGAACCACGCACGTAAACATTTGAGTATAATTACTGAAATTTTAGCTGGGTTATTTTTGTAATTTCAATAGAAAGACTCCAATTATATAAATGATCTTTCAAGATCCTTTTTGAAAGTCAAAGAAATTTTATAACTGAAAAACAGGAAATATATGCTTTGCTATTTTTATGTCTCTTTGTGAAGCGGCTTGTTTTGATCATTTCAGAAAATTTTGTTCCGTTAGCTATTCCAATTTTTGGAATACTTTAAAGTTTTCTCACAAATTTTGCTACGATGTATGTGTATTACAATATATTTTCAATAGGATTGAGTTGGTTGGGTGCGTGGGGTTCAAGACAAACTCTGGAGGGGGGTTACTGAAGCCTGTTCCCCCAGAAAAAAATCTATGTGTATAAATTATTTTAATATATACACTAGTTAGTAACATATAAGCCAAAGTACTGTCTATACCCAAAGCAGTACAAGTTATTTTTGTACATAATAATAACAACAGTAAATACACCCTAAATTTGCAAAAACTAAACAAATAAAAACATGAAACACTAAACGAAAGGAATTAATGAATACTAAATAGGGCATATCGTTAGGAATTTCTAGATTTCTAGACAACATTAACCCATCGAAACAGCACTTTGCCCTTTCTTCGAGGAAAATCATCTGGCATTAGACAGAGTAAAATAATAAAGTATGGTGCAACACGGCGCAATGCCAATTAAAGGTTAACAAGAAGCATAGGCAGAAAGTCTAATTAACCCATCGAAACAACACTCATCGTCTGGCGTAAGACAGAGTAAAATATAAAGTATGGCACAACAGGGTGCAATGCCAATTGAAGGCTAACAAGAAGCATAGGCAGACAGTCCAATTAACCCATCGAAACAGCACTCTGCCCTTGTCGAGGAAAATCGTCTGGCGTTAGACATAGTAATATAATAAAGCAGGGCACATCGGGGCATATTGCCGGGTTAACAGGTTAAGAAAGTACACTAAACACAATAACACCAGAAACTCTATTACAGTATACAAACCCAACACAGCCAAGCTACATAATCAATCTGCTTAAATATATTCAAAAATTAATAAGTAAACTTCTAGTGTTTATCCAGACAAGATTTCCAGAAAAATATTTCCATGTTTGAAAGCAAGCTGTTTGGAAGATTGCTATGAGGAATTTGTTAACCTAAGATCAAGCAAACCGACTCTTGAACAACTGGCCCTAGATGTATATCTAAGGGTTTTGTCTCAAAAATATGACATTCCCTTACATCATAGCCATTTCAAAATACAACCCTAATATCGTAGCAACTAAACTCGGCAAACCTAAACCGAACCTAAACAACACAGACCTAAGACAAATACTAATATTAAATAATAATTGAGTTTATACATACAAGAACCATGTTAAGAGCCACTTATAGAGCAGAATGAGCCAAGATATTATCACACATTCAGCGAAGATGACAACTAAATGATTGCCACATGAAATTCCTTGATATTTTACTGGAACATTTAGTGCGTCATTCACAAGAGCATTCTTTGTCTCGAAATTATGTAAATGATTTCCTAAAATGCCGAGAATCGTGGGATATTCCCAGCCAAGGTCAGCGGAAACAACTAGGAACAGCACGACACCACGAATGTATGCTTGTGCACAATACGCCCCCAACTCATTTTTCTTAACCGCTATATCAACAGTGGTCATTCCTGTAATTTATAATCCTGTAGCCTATACATATAGTACCAAACTTGACGTCTTGTTACCTATACTAACTATCAAGTATCAACCCATGTTATGTCGATGAGAAGAAACATGTTTTTACATAGTCACTGATGTATGCATTGGGCTTGCCTAGACCTGTCCCTAGTGTCATGTATATGCCGGTCATATGTCACACACCAGATATGACATAATTAAATAAGAAAATAAAGCAATAATCAGTGGTAGACAGCCCCCCTCCCCTCTAATAATTACCGAAAACTTTTGATTGATAACTGAGTAACTGTGTGAAACAGCTGTAACAATAATTTTTCAACCATGAAAGCATTTGTAAGCCAAAATTAAGCTATCTATGGCATGAAATTTAAGACAGGGGGGGGAGATTAAAGAACTAAGCTGTGCAGCAACAAAAGGTGATCGTATAATGGCAACCTAAATTCACACACCCTAACTGTAAACCGGCTAAAAATGGCAATGACTGTAAACCGGTTAAAAGCCCAGGGCTCGAAATAACGGCCGATCAACGATCAATGATCGGCAGGAAATTGTTTTTGATCGGCGAAGAAGCAAGGTTGCCGTTCATCTTGATCGGCAGAAATAGATTTGACCATTGTCTGAAAAACATGCTTACCTGTACGCGATAAAAGACAAAATTAAAAGTAACATAAAACACATTCAAAAACACGCGAAAAGCTCTTGTTTAGTTGATACGAGTCATACGACAGGAAAGGCCGCAAGACTATTCTCGCTCTAACGTAATTTACTATAAAACAAATTTGCAAGAAATACTGTCGTCTCTTCAACAGTCTGCAATCCGGACCACTGACGACGAACGTTTTTGTTATAATAATTTCAATTTGATAGGATTTTTTGAGTAGGATTTTTTCTTTTTAGTAAGATTTTCTCTTGTAATAATATTAAATAATAAGTTTTAGTTCTTAATTGATAATGCTGTGTTCATTGCTTTTGTGTGAAAAAATGCAATAACTTACTATAATTAAAACTTGAAAAGTGCTTTAATAAACTAAAGTTTATTAAAAGTTTATTAAATGTAGTTACACTATTAGAATTATATATAGTAAGTCCAAAAATGTCGTAGATTTAAACTTGAATTTGAAATAAAGTTAATTACTATCATATTTAGAATTTTGTTTCAAGGAAACTTAGTCTTAGACAAATATGCTCCTGATCGGCCAAAGTTTTATTTGATCGGAAAAAAGTCGCGATTGCCGATCACCATGATCGGGAACGTTGGGAACGTTATTTCGAGCCCTGAAAGCCTAACATTTTTCGCCCCTAGCGGTTTCCGGCACAATTTGACAGCCGGCTTTTTTTAGTCGTTTTTACTTAACTAATATCTGTGGCAGACATCGTTTCAACGCTATCTCCGACCACAGTATCTTACATAAGCTGTGACGATGTCTGGGTTTTGTAATCAGCGACTACATCAGGTCCGAGAATTATCATATATCTTGAAGAGCTTCTTAGATATAGGTCTTTGAGATGATATCTTATGCTTACTATCATTAGCCACAAAAGAAAATTCTAATAACTACACTTGAATACTTCATTAGCCTATATGACGCACTTGTAGGCTAAATGTTTACATTATTTCGAAGTTACAGTATTCCTTCCCCGCTATCTGTGTCTCGTGACTTTGTTCACTACAGCTGCTCCCGAGTCTTGCGGGCCGCTATCCAAGTCTTGTGAGCATTGCGGGCTGCTACCCGAGTCTCGCGAGCATTGCGGGCTGCCATCCGAGTCTTGTGAGCACTGCGGATGTTTAATAAGTCTCGTGAATTGCGGAACACGACAGTTTCTTGGAATGCTTAAAAATAAAAAACCAAGTGGGGGCTCCCAAGAGCAAAAGGTCAAATAATTAAGACCAGAACAAACTGTCATTAGTTACGGAAATGTCTTGTCTAGCAAGGATGTCTGATATCATAGCAAATATTGGAAATACCTATCATACAGGCCGATTATATTACACAATAAAGAACTCTGACCATTAAAATTCCGACCAACTGTTATGGCTTATGCAAGTATTCTTAGATTATGCTTGTTGGTGCATTAATAAGTTTCGGGAGCGATGGCGAAAACAAGGAATATGTTAATTCATGCTCATTGCACAAATATTCAGTGCTAAGTAGTTTGCCAAACATGTATTTACGCATGCATAATGTTCATTCTACGAACACAGCCTGTGTTGACGTAAGGCAATATGAAAATATAAAACATTCCGAAAACATTACTGCCAAGTAGAATATTCATTCAACAATTCATTTATCAATCATTACGGCAATAAAGTTTTAAGCAATTTATGGGGGAACTGTTATGGCATACATAATTAATGACAGTAATAAACTCGTCTACTATGTCTTAAAATTATCTAGCATTTTAAAATACACAGCTGCAGTAACTAAAGTATGAATACATGGTTCAACAAATGCAAAATTACGTTTGGCGAAACCTTTTCATTATCATTGCGCCAAATTCACGGACTTTCCAAGCATTCCAGCAAATATTCGGAAAGGTTTTAAAACACATGTTTTTTATTAGCTACAGAAAATTAAATTTGGCTAACCGCACCTTAATGTTCAAAAACCCTTCAATGACAAAACCGCATGAAAACTCTTATATTGATATGGAGTCTCCTTTTAAAATTTTGTAATATTTCATGAAAGTCAGGAATGATTGAATTCTTGATAAGATCCAAGTATCAGATAGAGGACGTCCCCACGGAAACCCACAACAGCTGTGGTTAGACTAAGCAGGATGAGATGGATGATAACATATTTTATCACTTTGACTTAGAATTAAATTTCATGAAAGTATACTATACAGTATTTGTACACAGGTACAATATCATTTTTCAAAGAAAGACAAAGATTTTAATTAAGACAGGTGGATAAAGCATCCAAAGAACACGCCCATGGCTTTCCGACAAAACTTCTTGATTGCGGCATTTTTAGGAAATATTAAAAGGTGTTGAAAGGGAGACAATTAGGATTTATCGCCAATGCCGGCTTGCGGCCGATTATGAGAAATTCTCCTTGTTGCGTATTTTGGATGCAATCCAAAACTGATAAGATTTGACATGGATTATGAAACCATACGAGACGATGCATTCACAAAGCTATCGGTTAAGTGTTTGCGGAAACAGAATTCTGTGCAATTATAAGTGCATTTGTGAGCCATTACAATTAAGAAACAGGTCAATGATACGCAACCCGGATATGCGTCCAGCAGACATGAATTAATTAGAATACATCTTCAGACGTCAAACGTCACATGTAGGAATCTAAACGCTAATGCAAAAAGCTTCAAAAAAGCTGCTCGACTATCGCTTTGTTTTTCGTAAAATGATTTCAATCAATGAGTCTCATATATATTGTATGTACTGATACCGGTACAAGTTTGACAGAACACAAGAGATTGCAATATTATCTTTGTCATAAGTTTATCATTTTCTTTTTTGATTTTACCCAAAAATGGAAATATTTTTACAAAGCTAATATTTTCTTATATCAAACAACATCTGTCAAGACCTGCTTTCATACTGTTTTCCTAACCATGTTTCATATATAAATATATCTGTTTAAATAATTTTTGATACCAAAGTCCAAAGTTTTTTCTTACAAAATAAAAATGTAGTGGCTTGTATGTTACTAACTTGAGAGGAAAATTACAGTAAAATGCTACTAGTAAAGCATTTACATACAAATAATTTCACAGTCCACAGAACAATGTAACAAAAAAGAGCTCAGACTCGCAGGTGCTCATACTCATATGCCAACAGAAAAGCCCAGCAAGAGTCCATATGAATGTCGTTATAACCTGTTTCAAGGGCAAAAACATTTCTTTCAAAGCCTTATCAAGGAGGCGACCATATAAGGGAAAGCAACTTGATTTCGTAAAACAATTATGAAATCTGAACTTTCCATCACCTGATCTGCGCACACAATCCAATATCTTATTACAAAATTCTCGGATGGTTAGGTTGAATTCCAAAACATGATTAGCTTCCTTAAGAGTAGCAGGTCGATTAATTAGGAACAGAAGTAGTTTGTGTCAGTCAAAACATGAAACCTTATACAACATGTATTTTGATAAATAAGGCCCCTAAATCAAGAAATACACAGCATAGAAAAGCAAGCCATTTCAGAAGCATGGATTATAGATACACGCTTATTCTTAAGCAAAATGCGAACGAACAAACGGACGACACAACACTCGAGAATCTCCTGTAAAGGTAACTTTAAATAGAGTATCTTAGAAACTCGAGAAAGGAAAATAATTAATCCTTTTGACAGGTGAATCAATATAATATCTCAGCCGGGTTGCCAACGGAATGCAAGGAATGCTTAATATAATAAAGGATCTGTTCTTTCGCGTAAGTTTCACTGAATGACAAAGTCAGGAACAAATAGCACCGTAAGAATGGGATTAATCTTAAATCACGGCACGGTCATATCCGCCACTCGTATTTCCAATAAACCAGAACAAAAGCTTCAGATAAACATTGCATAACCGAAATACCGGGACGAATACAGCTGCTTGATCGTATTCGCAGAAACTTGCTGTAACAGGAACTTTCAAATTCTAAGATATTCCTTCTATCTGACCTTTAATATTCTTAATATCTAACCACAACATCGCAACTCGATGACAAGCTATCAAGCCGGAAGTAGGGAATGCTGCGGAATGATTATCGGGCATTCGTAGAAACCCTGTTGAATGAATCCAAGAATTAACAGCTGATAACTCAATATAGAGATATCGATTGCCCAAAGGCAAATTTTTGATAAAACTGAGCTACCTGTTTTTAGCAACAAGGAAAGGTGATCAATATTTAAGCAGTTTCTTCTTGAAGAAAGGGAAAAAATTACAATGCCAAAATTGCCTCAAAGAATTCAGTAATATCTCTCAACTATGAGATTCATAATGAAATGATATCATGGTTTTATGTTTGCGCGACCTATAATTTGAAAAAAGTTGTTTATGCGAAGATAGCGAAGGTCTAGGGCAAATTTATGCTTCAATGGCTTATAATAAACCACCTGTAAAAGCTATAGCCATTTACACAGGTATCTCAGACAAAAATTGTAGTTAATTATCACACAAAAAGCGTTGTAAAAACTGCTTTTGCGGTTTGCATGCTAAAAGTTATAGATACAATCGAACTGTTTTAATTACGAAACACAAAAGAGCTATCCTATAGTGCTTTTTCCTGCCTTTATATGTTTCACATATTTTTGCCTTCAATGGAAAAATTTAAAGTACCATTTTAAAATAAAGTGATATAAACAGCTGGCCTGTCCAACGTGTATATTTATAAACGCTCTCGCAATTTAAACAGAAAACTGTATTTTACAGAATACAAGCTGATTTAATACAACCCACAGAAGCTTAGCTGTTTGTTAAGTGGCACAATCATTCGTCCGTTTAAAGAATGCTTTGCTGATGTGCCGCCATTTTAATATTACTTCTATACATTTTACACATAAGAGATCTGCACGAGACCCCCAAACACGGCGAGTTACGGGGCAAATTTCCCACCAAATTAAAACTAAAACGGTTTACAATTACAGCATGTACGCGTTGAAAATGCACATTTTTTGTTGCCTTTTGTAAACAGCAGCGAACAAAGGCGCATATCGGGTATTTCAATATTCATTTTTTAAGAGAAACGGGTACAAATTTCATGGAGAAATTATTTCGGTGTTCGATTGTGTTCGAATCAAATATTTACCCCATTTCGCATACGAATCTGAAGGGCTTTTAAAACTCGCAGCTATGAATAGCAAAATGCACGTTGAGGATACGAAGATGCAATTTTATGCAACACTCAAGTAATACCTGTAAATAAACACCATTTATATAGCTTGGAATCCTACCTTTATTGGCATCTGATTCTCCCCATATAAATCTCTTGCAGGAACGATAGCACCGTCGGGCGAATTTGACGGCGAACTGCTAGCATTCTCAGATAAGGAACCAGTATAAGAAAGCCTTCTGCCCTCGACTTTTGGAGCAATGTGTACATACGAAATCTTATTTACATCTGTAGTAGCAATGCGTGTGCCGTTGAGTTGTTGTACAGCCAGCATACTCGGTCGTTCGTAAGCGAAGGTAAAATGCGATTCGCCTTCGTTCGCCACGCTATGGCCTCTTGTGCTTTCGGTCTTCTCCGCGCTTTGCTTTTGACTCCATACGTTTTGTATAACAGGCTCCACGTTCGTTTCGCCATTCGTGTTGGCGTATTGGAACTCGTTTCGCGAAGCAATTTCATTCGCTTGCATGTCCGTTGTTTGTGTTCGAAATCTATCCACGAAAACCGTCAAATTTACCATCTAATGTGCCCGATCTAATGTAGCGATGTGTTCGTAGAATATCCACGATGTTACTCGACTCATTAGTAAAAATAAATACGAACAAATGATTTTTCTAAAAATCGTGTCTCGCTCCCCAGCGAATCACCATGTAAATCTACACTGAACACCGAATTCTCAGATTGGCCAACTGGATTGGCCCTCCGCGAATCCGCGATCCCCTGGGGACTGGGGAAAACCGTACCGGCATGCCTTGCGCGCACTAGAAAAATCCACGCATTCCCGAGCAAAGGGGCACCCCGCACCCTCGGGAGGGGAGGTGGGGTGAGGGGTGGCCAAAATGAAATAATATGAATAGAAGAAAGCTATTGTGATAAATGAGTTCTAGGCTATGTTTATATTGTATCGGATGGCTTGCGCGAAAAGCGATGCAAAAATCATACCGGATAAGGCTTGTGTGCACTGTGCCGGATAGGTTTTTGCTTCGTTCGTGCAACGTTACACGGCCCAAGTGTAAACAGCTTCCGCCCTCGCCTTTCTATGCCTAATTCGTCTTTTCTTGTACATATTTACCAAAACAAAAATATTGCAGACGTCATTCGCCAAATAGTGAGCAAGCTATACCCGTAAATAAGGTCAGAATAGCAATTAAGTTGTTGTTTGCTAGACGCCATCTTGAATTACGAATCACGAAACATTATCTAGCAAATTCTTTATTCACAGGTATAGTTTCACGCTCTTTCAAATGACGTCTGCAATATTTTGGTTTTTGGTCAATATATGCGAGAAAAGACGAAAGCATAGAAGACCACAGTAGGGCGGGGGCGGGGAAGCTGTTTACACTTGGCCCACAACGTTTCGCGAGCGAAACAAAAACCGATCCGCGATACAATGTAACATAGCTCTAATGTGTTCTAAATGTGTTTCGAATTCAGGTGATTTAAATAATTCGATTGTTTAAATCAATCTCAATAATCCACAATGCTATTGAACACAATCCCAATAATCCACAATACTAGCCTAATTTTTACCCAAAACCTTGTGATTAGGCGTGTCGACCATGGTGTCGACCAATGTATTCTTTATCGTAACATCGTAACATAAGAAAATTACGTTATGGGGGAGGGGAGGGGGCGGTGGGTGAGAAAAATATGAGCTGTTTTACTCGTGAACTGGGACGACCTGAAACCCAAATAGACGAGTGAAAATGTTTTTTTCTTGTGCCATGTTATGGTACAGTATGACTTTAACGGCACTTTACTAAACTTTACTAGCAACATCAATCGGCAATTTTCCCACCAAAATATTCATTGCTGGAGGTTTTACTATGAAAATGGACAGGGGGGGTTGAATTACACTTTTTGTTATGGAGTTCGGGGGCGTCTTGTAAATAATTAGCATACCTTTTGGGGGCGGTCTCAGCAAAGAGTGAAATAAAATTTCTCAGTCACCGCCTTCCTTTCATTATTAACGACCACTCCTTAAGGCCAAGAATAATTCATTGCGAGCGAATGAACTAAAGTGTTGTTGCGTTTGGGTCTGTGACAGTGTTCGTGGCATAGTTATTACATGAATTACGATGCGTTGGTTCCCACATTGCTATACAACTGATGCAGTTGCCTGATTATAATTTCAGCTCCGTTGCAGTGTGAGAAGAATGAAGAGCGCTCTAGTTTCATGTATGCCCCTACTGCACAGCCGGTTTTCTGCAGGTACCATGCTGGAACATAACGCTGGAACAATATTGAATGGCTGTACTGGATCTCTGCTCTATGCGGGGGAAAAAATAATTACAGCTTTCTTCCTGTAGTAACGCGAACCTCTTGTACTAACACGGGATCAATAAGGAACAACCTCACTGGTCCTCTATGACTATGGAAAACAATTTAGAACTATCAAGTATAAAAAAATTAGTTTAGGTTTCTTCTTGCAGTAACACTGGATCAATAAGAGATGATCCTTACTGGATCTCCAGCCGGAAGAACAGTTTAGAACTGATAGAGCTATCCAGTATAAATAAAGTTAGTTTAGTTTAGGTTTCCTCCTGCAGTAACACTGGATCAATAAGAGATGATCCTTACTGGACTTCTAGGAAGAACAGTTTAGAACTGATAGAGCTATCCAGTATAAATAAAGTTAGTTTAGTTTAGGTTTCCTCCTGCAGTAACACTGGATCAATAAGAGATGATCCTTACTGGCATGGACCTCTATAGAAAAAATTTAGAACTATCAAGTATAATAAAATGAGTTTAGTTTAGGTTTCTTCCTGCAGTAACACTGGATCTGAAGAGTGAAGAGACGATGCTTATTGGACCTCTAGGGAGAATTACAGTTTAATTATAATTGATCGAACTATCCAGTATAAATAAAGTTAGTTTAGTTTAGGTTCCCTCCCGTGCATGTAGTAACACTGGATAAATAAGAGATTATCCTTACTGGACCTCTAGAAAGAACAGTTTAGAAATGATAGAGCTATATACATCCAGTATAAATAAAATGAGTTTAGTTTAGGTTTCCTCCTGCAGTAACACTTGATCAATAAGAGAGGATGCTAATTACTGGACCTCTATGAAGAACAGTTTAGAACTGATAGAGCTGCCCAGTTTAATTAATAAATTTTCTTTTATTTGGAGGTAAAAAGTGAGGGAAAAGTAGTCTGGTTTGCTTTATAATAGCTGGCTTTCCGTTGGCTTTTAAAATTCGCATTATACATTTCGTGACAAGATTTGCTTGGATGAAAATTCAACTATCATTAGTTTGTTTACGGCAAAACAGGTAGTGGCTTAGATATAAGATGTGAACAAAGGCACTTGTTTAATTAAGATCATCCAATCGTATCGGGGTCAAACCCCCCAAGCAGCAATATTTTGTGTCCCAGCGAGGGGCGACTGGTTGGTAACATACATAAATATTGGCAACATTCATGGTACAAAAGTAGAGCACTTCATTTCAATAGTTACAGTACTTGTGGCTTTCATTTTTACGAACCGGTGTTTGATTTCATATGTTCCACTCCTAGTACGGAGAACCTGTGTTGGTCGATTGAAAAACTTTGCGTGCAAGAACATTGTTTCAAGAACATTATTACATCTTATTTCATCTTCTTTAAACCGCTTTGCTAGAGGTATAGAACAAGGATTATCTCAATTTTAAGCAGGACACCTACAAACTTAACTAACTTTATTTATGTTAATTGATATATAGCTCTATCAGTCCTAAGATGTTCTCCCTAGTCCTAGAGGAACAGTAACGATCATCTCTTACTGATCCAGTGTTACTACAGGAGGAAACCTAAACTAAACTAACTTTATTTATGCTGGAGAGCTCTATCAGTTCTAAACTGTTCTTCCTAGAGGTCCAGTAAGGATCATCTCTTATTGATCCAGTTCTAAACTGTTCTCCCTAGAGGTCCAGTAAGGATCATCTCTTATTGATCCAGTTCTAAACTGTTCTCCCTAGAGGTCCAGTAAGGATCATCTCTTATTGATCCAGTGTTACTAGTACAGCTAGGAGGAAACCTAAACTAAACATTTATACTGGATAGTCATCTAACCGTAAAATGTCCCTTTAGAAGGCCATTAAAAGTAAGCTGTTATTGCGAATTGTTGCCAGATATTATATAATCATAAGGTAAGGGAGGGCGATATTCCATGGAACTTTGCCCCGTGGCGAGGGGGAGGAATTGAGAGGGGGGCAGATTTCCTGAGATATCAGATTACGAGTCCAATGCAAATGCAACTGGAGAAATAGTGCAAAATTCAAACGGTGCATGCATGCATGCATACAAATAATAGTTTCACAAATATTGTCTAACATCACTTTTGACGTTTCAAAGGCCCTTTGATCAATATCTTTTCTGTGAGGTACAGACAGTTCTAATCTCAGTTTTCATGTAGTTCCCACGGCTGTCTAATACTTTAATAGCTATATTAATGTATTTAATTTCAAAGGCAACATATATCTTATTATTCTGTTTCTTCCTAAATTCCACCGACAATTCCACACGCTCTCTTAGAAACAATTGGTTAACGAGAATCTTGTGCGTGGGCATCTGACGCAGATGCTACCTGATGCTATAGATTTATCACGCGATAATGACGCACGATATTAGATTCTCATTTCGTTTAAGCTCGTGTTAGCCGGAAGATATTAAAGTAGATTATTCCTGCCTAGGGCCGCTTTTTAGAATCTAGAGTCATTACAGAATGTAATAAAAATAGATAATGTGCAGTCATTCTCTGTGTATCACAGAAAGAATCAGTAAAATGTTCTATTTACGAAAACGTTCCAAAAGAGTTCAGAAATGATATGCCGACTAAACCGATGACATTGTCTTTGATATGTTGCAAGTTGAAAGGGGCCTCAGTAGGTTTTGTATCCTTTTATTTCTCTTTGTTAAATTTTGACTTGTATTCAGAAATGACGTGGCGTGTGGCTGTGTGTTTCCTTCGCGGGCAGGCCGCCAGCCGCGCAGGTGTCGTTACAGACAGCCCCACGCTACAATGCTTTTGTAACAATTAAGCTAAGTAAAAATCGGTCAACTATTAAGCGGCAAATCTCACATTCAGTTTCTTGATGGAAAACTGTTTTCACTGATGACCCTTCTGGCGGGAATCCCGCCCGGTTCCTCATACGAACGCGATGCAAATTTTTACAGTCAGTGAACTTACTGAGGCAAGTTCTGAGACGTCTCGGAAAATATAGATATTCATATTGATTTTTAAAATTTGTACTGAAATATTTCTAGAGAGAATCTTTCTAATAGACTGTAACTTTAACAACGTCAAACGCCATATAGACCCATTGCACATGACGTCACAGCGCGGATGACAATGCATCTGGAGGACAAATTAGCAATCTACGCATAGTATAACTTTTGTAAACAAAGCAAATTTTGTAAAAGTTTATAATAATTTTGTATTAAAATGGTTCATTTTTGCGCTGTATGTGGTTGTTGTACCCGAACAGATATTGTTAGGGAGCATCTGGAGGACACTCTAAGGGTTTGTGACGTCAGTGCAAAGGGTCTAAAGTGACAAAGGACGCCCATCATGGCATTAATTTTTCATTCGTATTTCCTATATAAATAACGATTTTATTCGAGTTAGCTTTGCCTTGTTATGTTGATAATTGCTATAACTTACGTTATTAAAACTGTAAAAGCTGGCTAGCCAATTACTACATGTGGCGGCGCTATGGATCTCTTACTGTAATTCGGCTTGTACTCATTTTCGCTCAGCAGGATGGCTGGATAGCTTTCAGTTGAAGAGCTTTTTGCAGATGGAAATTATCGAGAGGAACATCATTAGACCTGCCCATGAGCAACTGTAGAAAAATGCCCTCTGACAGGAATTATACATACCTTAGGATAACCATGGGATATCTATGACGCGGGTTACCGAGACACTACAAACCTTTTCGTGCGTATTATTTTAGCTCAGTTTTAATTTTGCGCACAGATGGTCTCCGCGAATTCTAATGCAAGAAAAAATAATAACAGATATCTACAAGTGATATCGGACATGATATGTTGAAATATCCAGATGCAGCACTAGATTACAGCATGCAGAATCAGATTAATTCGCTTCAGAAAACGCCAGAATTGCAATATGTCCTAGTCCTAGAACTTTTTAAAAATATAAACATTCTCCGGGCTGGGGAAGAACCCCAGGGACTCTGACAACTTCGTATTAAACCAAAGTCAAACTTAGAAAAATTCGGGCCATTTTCAGGTTTAGATCGACTTAGAAATGTTCAAAACGAATATTGATGCAAAAAGTTTTGGTCCAGGGGAATTTTAATGCGCATTTTGATATAAAAAATGCTTAGCCGAGCTTAGCCGTGTTTTAATATACTTTCTACTACGCTTAGCCGTTCGCCGGATTCGTGATAGAGTCAACTAAAACTAGAAGTTACTATCGCAAGGCCAGTGCTGCGGTTTTAAACCAAAGTCAAACTTAGAAAATTTCGGGCCATTTTTCGGTTTAGATCGACTTAGAAATGTTCAAAACGCATATTGATGGAAAACGTTTTGGTACACGGGAATTTTAATGCGCATTTTGATATAAAAAATGCTTAGCCGTGCTTAGCCGTGTTTTAATATATTTTCTACTACGCTTAGCCGTTCGCCGGCTTCGTGATAAAGTCAACTAAAACTAGAAGTTACTATCGCACGGCAAGTGCCGCGTTAAATTCTTGCGAAATTAGACAATATGGAATGATTAACATAATCTTTTCGAGCCAGTTTCAACATGGCAATATTTTCTTATACGTATAAACGGATTTTGCACATAGAGGTATAAAAAGAATAAAAAATAGTCAGAATAAATAAAGGGGAAAAAATATTGTGAGTCTGCTACAAAACATGAGTTCAACTGGACTTGAACTCAAATGCTTATCGAGACAGGCTAAACGACATACCACTAAGCCATCAATGGACAATTTGTAATTCTGGTAAAATTAAAAACACAAGTACATTGTTGTGACCTGCTCATCTCTTGAGGTGAATCTCATTTCGGGCAAAATGAAAAAAAAATTGTTATAGACCGACAGAGAAAGGTTCAAAACGGATATTGATGCAGAAAGTTTTGGCACAGGGCAATTTAAATGCGCATTTATAAATAAATAATGCTTAGCCGTGCTTAGCCGTGTTTTAATATACTTTCTACTACGCTTAGCCGTTCGCCGGCTTCGTGGATCGACGTGGATCGTGTCAATTAAAACTAGAAGTTACCATCGCAAGGCAAGTACTGCCTTTTAACCCAAATCAAATTTAGAAAATTTCGGGCCATTTTTCGGTTTAGATTGACTTAGAAATGTTCAAACCATTTATTGATGCAATAAGTTTTGGTACAGGGCAATTTTAATGAGTATTTTGTAATAAAAAGTGCTTAGCCGTCCTTAGCCGTGTTTTAATATACTTTCTACTAGCTTAGCCGTTCGCCGGCTTCGTGCATCGACTCAACCAGAAACTAGAAGTTACTATCGCAAGGCAAGTGCTGCCTTTTAAACTAAAGTCAAATTTAGAAAAATTCGTGCTATTTTTCGGTTTAGATCGGCTTAGAAATGTTCAAAACGCATGTTGATGGAAAACGTTGTGGTACAGGGGAATTTTAATGCGCATTTTGATATAAAAAATGCTTAGCCGTGTTTAGCCGTGTTTTAATATACCTTCTACTACGCTTAGCCGTTCACCGGCTTCGTGATAGACTCAACTAAAACTAGAAGTTACTATCGCTCGGCAAGTACAGCATTAAATCCTTGCGTAATTAGGCAATATGGAATGATTAACTTAATCTTTTCGAGGCAGCTTCAACATGGCAATATTTTCTTATACTTGTAAACGGATTTTGCACATAGAGGTATAAAAAGAATAAAAAATAGTCAGAATAAATAAAAGGAAAAAATATTGTGAGTCTGCTACAAAACATGAGTTCAACTGGATTTGAACCCAAATGCTTATCGAGACAGGCTAAACGACATACCACTAAGCCATCAGTGGACGACTTGTAATTCTGGTAAAATTAAAAACACAAGTACATTGTTGTGACCTGCTCATCTCATGAAGTGAATCTCATTTCGGGTAAAATGAAATAAAAATTATTATAGACCGACAGAGAAAGGTTCAAAACGGATATTGATGCAGAAAGTTATGGCACAGGGGAATTATAATGCGCATTTATAAATAAATGATGCTTAGCCGTGTCTTAATATACTTTCTACTACGCTTAGCCGTTCGCCGGCTTCGTGGATCGACGTGGATCGTGTCAATTAAACTAGAAGTTACCATCGCAAGGCAAGTGCTGCCTTTTAAACCAAATCAAATTTAGAAAATTTCGGGCCATTTTTCGGTTTAGATCGACTTAGAAATGTTCAAAACATTTATTGATGCAAAAAGTTTTGGTACAGGGCAATTTTAATGAGTATTTTGTAATAAAAAGTGCTTAGCCGTCCTTAGCCGTGTTTTAATATACTTTCTACTAGCTTAGCCGTTCGCCGGCTTCGTGCATCGACTCAACCATAAACTAGAAGTTACTATCGCAAGGCAAGTGCTGCCTTTTAAACTAAAGTCAAATTTAGAAAATTTCGGGCTATTTTTCGGTTTAGATCGGCTTAGAAATGTTCAAAACGCATATTGATGGAAAACGTTTTGGTACAGGGGAATTTTAATGCGCATTTTGATATAAAAAATGCTTAGCCGTGCTTAGCCGTGTTTTAATATACCTTCTACTACGCTTAGCCGTTCGCCGGCTTCGTGATAGACTCAACTAAAACTCGAAGTTACTATTGCTCGGCAAGTCCCGCATTAAATCCTTGCGTAATTAGGCAATATGGAATGATTAACTTAATCTTTTCGAGCCAGTTTCAACATGGCAATATTTTCTTATACTTGTAAACGGATTTTGCACATAGAGGTATAAAAAGAATAAAAAAATAGTCAGAATAAATAAAGGGAAAAAAATATTGTGAGTCTGCTACAAAACATGAGTTCAACTGGATTTGAACCCAAATGCTTATCGAGACAGGCTAAACGACATACCACTAAGCCATCAGTGGACAATTTCTAATTCTGGTAAAATTAAAAAACACAAGTACATTGTTGTGACCTGCTCATCTCATGAAGTGAATCTCATTTCGGGCAAAATGAAAAAAAAAAAATGTTATAGACCGACAGAGAAAGGTGGAAAACGGATATTGATGCAAAAAGTTTTCGCACAGGGGAATTTTAATGCGCATTTATAAATAAATAATGCTTAGCCGTGTTTTAATATACTTTATACTACGCTTAGCCGTTCGCCGGCTTCGTGGAACGACGTGAATCGTGTCAATTAAAACTAGAAGTTACCATCGCAAGGCAAGTGCTGCCTTTTAAACCAAAGTCAAATTTAGAAAATTTCGGGCCATTTTTCGGTTTAGATCGACTTAGAAATGTTCAAAACACTTATTGATGCAAAAAGTTTTGGTACAGGGCAATTTTAATGCGTATTTTGATATAAAAAATGCTTAGCCGTCCTTAGCCGTGTTTTAATATACTTTCTACTAGCTTAGCCGTTCGCCGGCTTCGTGCATCGACACAACTATAAACTAGAAGTTACTATCGCAAGGCAAGTGCTGCGGTTTTAAACCAAAGTCAAACTTAGAAAATTTCGGGCCATTTTTCGGTTTAGATCGACTTAGAAATGTTCAAAACACTTATTGATGCAAAAAGTTTTGGTACAGGGCAATTTTAATGCGTATTTTGATATAAAAAATGCTTAGCCGTCCTTAGCCGTGTTTTAATATACTTTCTACTAGCTTAGCCGTTCGCCGGCTTCGTGATAGAGTCAACTAAAACTAGAAGTTACTATCGCACGGCAAGTGCCGCGTTAAATCCTTGCGAAATTAGACAATATGGAATGATTAACTTAATCTTTTCGAGCCAGTTTCAACATGACAATATTTTGTTATACTTGTAAATGGATTTTGCACATAGAGGTATAAAAAGAACAAAAAATAGTCAAAATAAATAAAGGGGAAAAAATATTGTGAGTCTGCTACAAAACATGAGTGCAACTGGATTTGAACTCAAATGCTTATCGAGACAGGCTAAACGACATACCACTAAGCCATCAGTGGACAATTTGCAAATCTGGTAAAATTAAAAACACAAGTACATTGTTGTGACCTGCTCATCTCATGAGGTGAATCTCATTTCGGCCAAAATGAGAAAAAAAATTGTTATAGACCGACAGAGAAAGGTTCAAAACGGATATTGCTGCAGAAAGTTTTGGCACAGGGGAATTTTAATGCGCATTTATAAATAAATAATGCTTAGCCGTGTTTTAATATACTTTCTACTACGCTTAGCCGTTCGCCGGCTTCGTGGATCGACGTGGATCGTGTCAATTAAAACTAGAAGTTACCATCGCAAGGCAAGTGCTGCCTTTTAAACCAAAGTCAAATTTAGAAAATTTCGGGCCATTTTTCGGTTTAGATCGACTTAGAAATGTTCAAAACACTTATTGATGCAAAAAGTTTTGGTACAGGGCAATTTCAATGCGTATTTTGATATAAAAAATGCTTAGCCGTCCTTAGCCGTGTTTTAATATACTTTCTACTAGCTTAGCCGTTCGCCGGCTTCGTGCATCGACAGAACTATAAACTAGAAGTTACTATCGCAAGGCAAGTGCTGCGGTTTTAAACCAAAGTCAAACTTAGAAAATTTCGGGCCATTTTTCGGTTTAGATCGACTTAGGAATGTTCAAAACGCATATTGATGCAAAACGTTTTGCTACAGGGGAATTTTAATGCGCATTTTGTTATAAAAAATGCTTAGCCGTGTTTTAATATACTTTCTACTACGCTTAGCCGTTCGCCTGCTTCGTGATAGAGTCAACTAAAATTAGAAGTTACTATCGCACGGAAAGTGCCGCGTTAAATCCTTGCGAAATTAGACAATATGGAATGATTAACTTAATCTTTTCGAGCCAGTTTCAACATGACAATATTTTCTTATACTTGTAAACGGATTTTGCACATAGAGGTATAAAAAGAATAAAAAATAGTCAAAATAAATAAAGGGAAAAAAATATTGTGAGTCTGCTACAAAACATGAGTTCAACTGGATTTGAACTCAAATGCTTATCGAGACAGGCTAAACGACATACCACTAAGCCATCAGTGGACAATTTGCAATTCTGGTAAAATTAAAAACACAAGTACATTGTTGTGACCTGCTCATCTCATGAGGTGAATCTCATTTCGGCCAAAATGAGAAAAAAAATTGTTATACACCGACAGAGAAAGGTTCAAAACGGATATTGCTGCAGAAAGTTTTGGCACAGGGGAATTTTAATGCGCATTTATAAATAAATAATGCTTAGCCGTGCTTAGCCGTGTATTAGTATACTTTCTACTACGCTTAGCCGTTCGCCGGCTTCGTGGATCGACGTGGATCGTGTCAATTAAAACTAGACGTTACCATCGCAAGGCAAGTGCTGCCTTTTAAACCAAAGTCAAATTTAGAAAATTTCCGGCCATTTTTCGGTTTAGATCGATTTAGAAATGTTCAAAACACTT